AGGTAAATGATGCCCTCAATGACTTCCGAGTCATGATTATCACGTTTGGATGTGTCGTTTACCTTCGTCATCTATTCACGCCACGTGATACCAAATTAGGTATATGTGGGGCTAGTGAAACGGCTGCGAGCATGCTCTGATCGTGGTATGTTGTCATGTTCTTCGTGACACACTTGTAACGATTATCATGCTTGCATTAGTCATATATCTTGTCATACAACGACGTCAATTAACACCAAATGTCGTGTATGTGGAGCTGGCAAACTGGCGGCGGCCGCATCACGAGGGGGGGGGGGTGCTGCGAGTGCTCGATGGTGACGGACGCACTCCACATCGCCTCCGTAGATTTTCTGCTATTTCTGCAGACATCCACCTTGGTACCCCTCAAACTTGGATTTATCGTCACCGCCAAGTTCTCCGCTTCGCTTAGACAACACCTTTGTCCAGGTGGGTCCAGTTTTGACAACTTGAGGGACGTCCTTCACTCCCGGTTACAACGCTGCCTCGCTAAGGGCTCTCAGCCCGGCGATGGCGGCCGCTAACGTGGTTACGGGCTATGATCCTACCTCAAGCCAAATGCTGTCCATCGAGATTTCATCCTCCATAAGCACTATGCCATCAGAAGACGAATACCTCGACGACATGGTGAGACTGGGGACACGCAAGCAAGCGAAATCGAAGTCTGCGTCTGAACAACAACGAGACGCCAAAGCGGGCCACCATTCCCCAGCCTTGCAAGGAAAGCCGGCGCGCCATCCTTCCGGTGGTGTGCCTACCTCTGCTCCGTCCTCGCAGCCAGCGAAGCAACGCAAGTGGCGTCCGCGTCAAACTCCTCGCCTCTCTCGCGACGCCTACATCGTAGTAGTGAAACCTCGCGTTCCTTGCGAGCTACGCACATTCGTCCGGCCGATCGCGCGGGCGACGCCATCCGCAGCTACCTCGGCGACCGGACTACCACGCAAATTCAAGTGTGGGCGATCTGGGAACAAAACATCTTGGTCTGTAGATCTACCATTTCGCCTATGGCACAGCGACT